CACGAACATGATGCGCTCGGCCTTCCTGACGGTGATGCACGCGGCGAGCTTTGTGCTCCTTGCGGCGCTGTGCCTGGTCAGCGCGGCAAACCACCTTGCGCCGAGCGACGGCGGTGCGAGGGCGTACGCAGCGATCGTGCTGCTGCTGACCGCTGTGCTGCTGGTGATCACTCTGTACTGTGCGGCTGTGTGGTACGTGGAGGACCGCCACTGGCAGGAGCTGCGCGAGCCGCGGCGTGGAGGGCTGGAGGCGCTTCTGCGCGATGGCGAGGAGAGCGACGAAGAGGTGCGGAAGCCCCACGAAATGACGTCATCGTCGTACGCCTCAGGCACCACCGTTGCGTCGTCGTACCGACCACCCGCACCGCCGTTGCAGCCCATGGCTGGTGACACCCGCTCAGACGCCTTGAGCCTGTTCGACCATGCATCCAGTGCGAGCTGCAAAATTGATCACGCCCTTCTGTGACGTGCAACACTTAGAATTGATAGGTTTACAGTGCTGGTTGATGGGGGAGGGCGCAGGGCCACAAATGTGCTGCGCACCAAATCTATCCATCGTCAACAGCACCAACCGTGTTATTGATTGTTGTTTCTATCGATTTGTGCAACTGAGCTTGTGACTTTCTTTCGTTCCACGATGACTGCGTGGGAGGAGCTTCGGTTCGGTCGCCAGTTCACTGTGTCTTTTTTGGCGTTGTTTGCAGTGCCCTTATTTTGTGCTGAAATGTACGTGTTTTTCTTCCTGCTGCGTAACCGAACTCACCTTGTGCTGTCACACTGTGTGGATGACTCTCTTGCTGTGGCTGTCAGTCATGTCTGTGCGTATTCTCCCTTTCTTTCTCTCTTTATTCTATTCCCTTTTCTTGATTTTTTGTTTACTGTTCAGCTTTAACTCAATCCAACTACGAAGACAAGGAGAAACAATGCCTGAAAAGCGCAAGAGAGTGCAGGGTGACGATAATACCGAGTGTCAGGCATATACTTTGCCGCAAGGAGATCGTCAGACGAGAGCAAGGCTGTCGTCCCATGACGAGACGGATCAACCCGCTGCGACTTGTAGAGGAGTTGAGGAAACGCAGCGAACAAAGTGGACTCTTGACAGTTGGCTGGATAAAGTGCTGCTGGAGGAAAAGGAACGCATCATGGAAATGCCGCTGAATGATTTCCTTCGGAATTATTTTGACGGCAGGGGCGTTGGGGAATTCAATGCGAGGGTCCATATGGAGGACTTTTTAATTAGCCCCACGAAGTTCATCAAAGAAGAAGTGTTATTGGATACAATAAAGGCATCCTCGTCATACCAAGAGCTGAAAAAAGAGCGTGAGGAGTTTTAAATGCTATTGGGGGCTTCAAATAAGCTTACAGACGAACGTCTTTTCAATCTCAGAGAATGGAGGGACTTTTAAAAAAAGGATACGGTCATTCCTCTTGCAAGGGCACAAATAAACAAAGCCTACTCTCAGATACTGAGAGTAGAGGGGTGGGAAGCAGAAGAAAAGGCAAGGCGAGAACGACAAGAACTGGTATTTACCATTCACACTAGGACTGATGATGCGGTGTTTAAGGGAAGGACTCGCGTGAATAAAATGAAGCTGAATGACTTTCTTACGATGGAATTGGACGGCAGGGGCGCTTTGGACGCCAATCGGGATGTCTTACTGGGGGAGTTTTTTAAGGACCCCAAGAAGTATATCCGTGATAAAGGAGTATTGGGCGAAATGCAGGCATCCGATCGTTATGCGATGATGGAGAGGACTGTAAGGGATGAAATGGATATGGAAGAGGATGTAAACAAGCTTTACGAGCATTGTATGGACAATCTACTGAAGTGGTTAGTGGCTTCTGCAGAGGTAACGGCAAGTGTTTATGAAACCAATAAAAGGTTTTTGGATGCAGCTGCCGTGGAAGCGAGGAACCCAAAGAAGTCGAGCGCACCGATATACCTGGAGGGACACTGCGAGTCTGTGTACAATGCGAGGTGGCATCATGTTGTGGAAGTCCCTGGAGGCAAAGGGACGGGAATGAAGGTGGAGGAGGGTGAACCACCGCAGCCATGGACGTACAAGGCAGTTGGCCGAACTCTTGAAAAGGATGACGGTGTGCAGCAATCCGGTGCACCGCGTCCCAGGCTGATGGTGCTCACCTCGGACAAGGGATGGCCGTACTCGTGGGAGGATGAATAAATCCACTCGTGACTGCCATGTGAACTGTGAGGTGGAGCGAGTGTGGCAGATCGTCAAGGGCGATCTCACCGAATGGTTGAGCACTCACGGTGGGACCGACTTTAAGCCCAAGCAGCATCTGTTGATTGGGACGCCCGGGATCGGGAAGTCGATGGGTGCCGGCTCGTACCTCCTCTACCAGCTGCTGCACTACGACGTGGAGAAACTCCAAGTGGTTGCGTACAGTTTTGGTGGAAGTACTACGTACGTGTTTGACAAGACCATCCAGACGGTGACAAGATACCTGGGTAGTAAAACATCCAGGAATGTTTTGCATGATTTGTGGGATTGTGAGTTGAAGGGGTATGTTATCTACGATGTGAGAGAGAAAGGGATGCCAGCGAGTTGGTTTTCGCCTTTTAATGAATGGGGCATGATTGTGTTGTCATCGCCAAACGTGCGCAACCATGAAAAATGGGAGACGGAATTAAGAGCCGCGCGAATCATCGTGAATTGCCCTGACGAGATGGATGTGAAGGCGATGTGTGCGTGGATGAATCGCGATTGGACTGCGGAGAAAAAAGCGGAATACTGGAAGATGGTCAAAGAACACATGGATAAAGTGGGGCCGATTCCACGTTACATCTTTGATGCGAATAAGTTTATTTCATGCTCTGCTGCCATTGAGGATGCCTTGGATGGGATCAATTCCCGGGATGGTGAAGAACACTTTACACATAGGGGAGTGAGACTATGGTATTCTGAGGATCCGTCTCAAAAGCTCGTGAGGGTTGTCCGAGCAAGAGGAGAAGTCGGTGCTGAGGGATTTCTCAACGCACCGATATCGCTTTGCCTCGGGCGTCGAATACCATGCTATTTTGGGGGAAGAAATGAGTGAGAAATATATATATATATATATATCTGTTGCTAGTATTGGGGAAGAGGAATACTCTTTTGTCTGAATGTATGGGAGGGTTTGACTTGCGCGCATTCGTGTTTGGTGGAGTTTTTCGGTGCATTAGTAGGGGACCTCAAGGAGCTGGGGCCACCAGCACGTCGTGGAGGACAGTACGCAGAGCTGAAGGCGAACTTTGGAGGACACCGCCGAGTTGTATGTGGAGTGGTTGCAATGGAATACCACACAAATAATAATATAAAGCATCGGCTGCTGTGCATACCGGCGGGTGCAAGCTTTCCGCTGGTGGACGGCTTTTTCCTCTTCATGGAGTTAAATCCAATGACGCTGGTCGGGCTGCGGATGACTACGGCGAGTGCGCATCACACGATAACCAGCACTGCGAGGCAGTTCACGGAGTGCCTGGCGGCATATTTTAGTGGTTGGGAGGAGTTATACCGAGACCTGTCGTGGGAGTTTATTTATGTGCGGCACGCAGACAGCACGCCGATGAATGACTGGCAGAGATGTGATGTTGTAAATTCCGATAATGTGAGCCGCGCTGAAAACCGGGAGATTGCGGCGTTCTGGGAGGAAGAGGTGCGCCAGTACATAGCAGCAATATCATCCAGAGAATTTAGAAGAGATGCAGTTCTCCGAAGTGAGGAATAATCACCGAAATAGGAAGAAAAATTGGGGAATGGGGCGGTTTTGATTTCAGTTAAAAAGTACTGTGGGATTTATATATTTTTGGATATGTGTGTGTGTGCATACGGCGCAGGTGCACTAGCCCCATGCGGCAGCACCGTACACAAATGCCAAAAAAGTCCAACGCAATCGAGCATAACAGTGACAAAAGAAAATTAGGGAGGGAAAGGGGTTGTTTGGCTTCTGGTGAAAAACATTGGGTGGTTTTTATATGGTATGTTAGTTGTGTGTTTGCACACGAGGCATAGTTGGAGAATTGCCCCGGTATGAGGGAATCATTGTGTTTGGCGCTGTCGCAGTACTACTGCATTGCCCATTTTCTTCTATTGTGTTCTAAGGCCCATTACTAACAGAAGCATTTTTAGGGATGGACGACGAATAATTTCTATTGAGGAAACAGTGCACTCCGTGTGACCGCGTGGACTGAGGCGCCGCGTCGTGGATGGATGAGGAATTAATTTCGCGTGTGGCTCTTTGGGTGATTGCTCGCTTCGTGTGCGTTGTGTGTTGGCTGCGGGGCTGTGGCCGTATCCCGTTGGCCGTGGGATTGAACTGGAGGCGGAGGCGGTGGGTCACTTCTTCTTGCCCATTGTGGGTTGATTGCTGGCGGTGTGTGTGTTTGCTGTGTGGAGGGCCGAATCCTCTCACCCGCGGACTGACGGCACTGCGATGGTGTCTGTGTGTCTCTGAGGGCTGGTGTGGAGTTGCCGGCCAGTATGAGGGCCTTGGCGGTGCTTTTCCCGCCCGTCGTCTGTTCCTTCCGTGTGTGTTTGTGCTGCTTGTTGCTTTTCCCCTGTCATCCTCTCCTCCTGTGTTCCTGCGTGGAGTGGCCGCATGCTCACGGGCCATGTTGATTGTGAGTGCCTCCTGATGGCGTCCATTCATCTCTCTCTGCTTGTCTGTCTGTCTTTCCCTGTTGAGTGTGTGGCGTGTTGCACCGCGTGAGGGCTGGCCCGCACACACCGACGGCCCGTCGTGACTTGCCGTGTTGCTGCTCTTTTCTGTGTGCGATGGTCCTCCGTGCCGTCCCTTCCGGATTGTCTCGTGCCCCACTCTCTGCGTGGGTACTCTGCTTTGCTCCTCACTGACCTTTCTTGTGTTGCTGTTGTCGCTGTACTCTCCACTTATTGAACACAGTCACGCTAGGAAAGCAAACAAGTGCGAATCGCTACTGTGAAATTCAAGGGCTCTGAAAGGACCAACAACACACACACCGCCCACACACACATATTTATATGCTCTCACGTGTTGCTGCAGTGAAGGCACCCCGCACACACAACCGTTGCCGCGTGACTGGATCCAGCGGAAGGAGGAGGGAAGGAAGAGAGAGTGAGCCGCAGAGGCCTAACATGTCCCGGCGTGTGTTTACTTCCGCGGCGCTGCACCTCCTCGTCGTGATGTGGATGTGCTGCGGCCCCTGTGAAGCTGCGGCCGCATCGACGGGTGAGAATTCAGTGAATGCGCGGCAGCCACAGAGATTTGATCTATTTGTGCCGCAGAAGACGGTGTTGCTGCCGAGAGGTGGAGGTAATTCAGAAAAGAAGTGGGATTCATTTGCTTCACCCTCTCTTGTCAGTGCTGGTGGCGTAATTGCTGCCTTCGCCGAAGGTCACCTGAGCTCCAAAAATAAAGATAATAAATCAACTGAGCCCTCTTCTGATGCAGTTGCTTGGTACATTGACTCTGCGTGGGAATGGCCCACTCTTGTTGGTGAGGCCAAAAAAAGTACATGGCAAGCACACACCGTGCTTGGTAAAGCGGATGGAAAGGAGCGTTTTGATGTTGTGCTCCGCCCCACAACCACCACGAAGGACAATAAGGTGTTTCTTCTTGCGGGAAGCTCTGTTGCGTCCAATGTAAATGGGAGTTGGACTCATGGCGGCTTGAAACTGAAACTAGTTGTGGGTGATGTCAGGAAGCCTACGGACAGCGAGCAGAGTGGTCGGATCAATTGGGGCGAAGTCGAATCACC